GTTGGAAAGGTTTGGCGGGAAGGATTGAAGCTGAACGGGCCACATCTGGCCCCCAGGCCTTAGTTTCCCCATGCCTGGGTTAGCAGAATCGTTTAGTTTATTTTTTTTTGTTACAGTTATTTCTGTTAAGAGCAAAATAATAGTTTTTAAAGTTTAAAATATCTAAAAAATAATGCAGTAAATGCAGCATCAAATGAAGTTTACAGGACAGTTTTCTCAGGTTTTCTGTGTTGTTGGTGTTTTTCTATATAGCACCGTGTTCATATGTGAAGAGCAGGAAGTCTCACCACACTCCTCTGGGTTCTCATCAGAGTTGTCTCCACAGTCGTCCTCACCATCACACTTCCAGCCCAGAGGCTTGCACAGAGTGTTATTGCACTGAAACTCGTCCAGGGGGCAGTATCTGCCCACTTTAGAAATAGTACAGAAAGAAGAGGGGAAAAATATAAATGAGTCCTCACATTCATCAAGTGTTTTTTTTTCACATTTGCAGCTTCAGTTTCAGCCACTGGACAAACGGCCGTGTGTTTATTACCACCAGTGTCGCATTTCTCCTCGTCGCTGCCGTCCATGCAGTCTGCATCGGCGTCACAGCGCCAGCGGAAGGGGATGCAGTGGCCGTTCTTGCACTGGAACTGATCGCTGTCACACTTCACATCGCAGCCGTTCTGAGAGCAGAGGACCACAGTGGGTTTTTTTATAGTTGTGACACAGCTGAGATATGACCAGTGGAGGAGTTGACCCTACCTCGTCTGAACCGTCGGCACAATCATGGTCCCCGTCACACTTCCATCGCCCGGCAATGCAGCGACCATTGGTGCAGGAGAACTCGCTCTCTGAACACTGCCGTGGCACTGGGGAGAAAACAGGACAACTCATGAGACAAGACTGAGAGGAGACACTGAAGGGCAGACAGGGCAGAGAGAAGAGGGGGCAAAAGAAGGGGGAAAGGAAAAGACGGAGAAGTGCAAAACCACAAAAAACAGGACTGTTTATATCAAGACAGTAAAAAAAAACAACTCATGAGAACCAGGGGAGGGAGGTAGTACCACATCCTATACTTCAGGAAGAAGATAAAAATGGAACACAAGACAAGCTGGGTCCAACAAGAACAGGGGTGGGGGTGGAGGAGGAGGGGGTGGGGGTGGATGGTGGAGCTAAAACTGTGAAAACACCTACCTCTGGCTCACAGCAACAGGCCAGTGTGAAATGCAAAATAGACATGACATGATATGAGGTGTGCAAATGGCCACAGAACTGAAACCATGCCTATACACGACCATGCCTATACTCTATACTGAACAGTAGGTGGCGCACACATACACACAGTGAACGGTGACACCATACCAGAATATACTGATGCATTCTGTTTACACCAGAGACTGACTCTGTGTGTGAGACGAAGCTCCTCCAACATCAAACTCCTACGTCATAATCAGAGGACATACCACACTTGTCCTCGTCAGAGTTGTCTCCACAGTCATTGTCATAGTCACACTGCCAACGTCCAGGCACGCAGCGGTTGTTCTTACAGCGGAACTGGTACGGCTCACATGTCCTCTCGTCTGTCAGCCAAAAAAAAAGAGACTAGATTAGATTGGATTAAGTAAATAGAAAAAATAGATTCGGGTAAATTAATAGATTAGATTGGTTTAGATTACCGTAGATTATGTTTAGTAAATTGAAAAATTAGATTAAGGTAAATTAATAGATTAGATTAAATTACCGTAGATTATTATATTTTATTAGATTGGATTAGATTAGATGAGGTAAACTAGATAGATAGAAGTAACATTCTGGGAGATTCCTTAGTTTTCAGATTACATCCATGGGGAACAAGGGATGGGTCGTAGCCAACTAGTTTATAATAAAATAATTTCATACATTTTTTTAAAATAAAAAAAATGTATATAGAATTTTGTTCCCATCACCTTTTGCTAGAAAACATTAAAAGATTCAGGAGAAATCTGTGTGCGTAAAGGGTTAATGGCGGACACCACTGCTTAATGTGCATGCTTTCTCAGACGTTCGTCATTGGGTGCGTTCAAAACAGTCATGATCCTGTCACATAGTGATCTTAAGAATACTTCACTTATCATATTGTTTAATGTTTAACAAACAGAGTTAAGTTTTTTTATATTATTTAATGTTTAACAAACAGAGTTAAGTCCCTGAACAGTAGTGGCATTATTTATTTCCTCCGTCCTTTTTCCTGGAAGGATGGAGTGTTCTAACGTTTCGTACACTTTATCTTCTCCACTGCCATCTGTCTCTGTCTCTGTCCTGCTCTTACCACACTCCTCCTTGGGTTCATCTGAGGCGTCGCCGCAGTCATCCTCGCCGTCGCACTTCCACCGCGCTGGTATGCAGCGCCCCGAGTCCTTACAACGAAACTCATCTACGCCACATGTCATTTGAGCTGCAGAGAAACAATACAAGATCGCAATCTTCAATTTAGGAACGGCATCCATTTCAAAATCAGATTGTACCCGGGGACGGTGTTCGTGCTGCTGTGAAGTGATGAAATATTGAATTTTGTCTTACTGCAGTTGGCAGGTTCATCAGATTCATCCACGCAGTCGTTGTCCCTGTCACACACCCACACCCGTGGGATGCAGCGTTTGCTGATGGCACACTGGAACTGGTTGGGGGCGCAGGTAACTTCGGCTGTACGACAACAGAGTCATTTGTTTATATTCTGGCACAAATAAGACAGAATAAAAACAATGAACAGTGAATATCTTTACTTTCAACCTACACCGTTACATCTCACTGTTCTTTTTTTTTTTATTAACAACCACCCAGTAAAAGATGCTAAAATGTAAATTGCAACTCTTAGAATGTCACAGAGGAGTGGGTGCAAGTATCCTCTCTGTGTGGAGGAAGAATGTGTTCTGCAAATGCCATGGCAATTGCATTATGCAACATCATTTGGCCTCAGGCTGTTGTTAAAGAAAAGGTCACAGACCAGAGCTCCGATCTGGAGCTCAGGGATCTTCAATAATTTCCTTTCCTTCTTATTAGATTTCTGGAAACGTGTTTAAAAAAATCACTGCAGAGTGTGAAGGTAAATATTCTGACTGGATGTGGCAGGGCCGGGATTAGATGAGGTAAACTAGATAGATAGAAGTAACATTCTGGGAGATTCCTTAGTTTTCAGATTACATCCATGGGGAACAAGGGATGGGTCGTAGCCAACTAGTTTATAATAAAATAATTTCATACATTTTTTTAAAATAAAAAAAATGTATATAGAATTTTGTTCCCATCACCTTTTGCTAGAAAACATTAAAAGATTCAGGAGAAATCTGTGTGCGTAAAGGGTTAATGGCGGACACCACTGCTTAATGTGCATGCTTTCTCAGACATTCGTCATTGGGTGCGTTCAAAACAGTCATGATCCTGTCACATAGTGATCTTAAGAATACTTCACTTATCATATTGTTTAATGTTTAACAAACAGAGTTAAGTTTTTTCCCTGAACAGTAGTGGCATTATTTATTTCCTCCGTCCTTTTTCCTAGAAGGATGGAGTGTTCTAACGTTTCGTACACTTTATCTTCTCCACTGCCATCTGTCTCTGTCTCTGTCCTGTTCTTACCACACTCCTCCTTGGGTTCATCTGAGGCGTCTCCACAGTCATCCTCGCCGTCGCACTTCCACCGCGCTGGTATGCAGCGCCCTGAGTCCTTACAACGAAACTCATCTACGCCACATGTCATTTGAGCTGCAGAGAAACAATACAAGATCACAATCTTCAATTTAGGAACGGCATCCATTTCAAAATCAGATTGTACCCGGGGACGGTGTTCGTGCTGCTGTGAAGTGATGAAATATTGAATTTTGTCTTACTGCAGTTGGCAGGTTCATCAGATTCATCCACGCAGTCGTTGTCCCTGTCACACACCCACACCCGTGGGATGCAGCGTTTGCTGATGGCACACTGGAACTGGTTGGGGGCGCAGGTAACTTCGGCTGTACGACAACAGAGTCATTTGTTATATTCTGGCACAAATAACACGGAATAAAAACAATGAACAGTGAATATCTTTACTTTCAACCTACACCGTTACATCTCACTGTTCTTTTTTTTTTTAACAACCACCCAGTAAAAGATGCTAAAATGTAAATTGCAACTCTTAGAATGTCACAGAGGAGTGGGTGCAAGTATCCTCTCTGTGTGGAGGAAGAATGTGTTCTGCAAATGCCATGGCAATTGCATTATGCAACATCATTTGGCCTCAGGCTGTTGTTAAAGAAAAGGTCACAGACCAGAGCTCCGATCTGGAGCTCAGGGATCTTCAATAATTTCCTTTCCTTCTTATTAGATTTCTGGAAACGTGTTTAAAAAAATCACTGCAGAGTGTGAAGGTAAATATTCTGACTGGATGTGGCAGGGCCGGACCACCAAAATGTAAACATGGGATTAGATTAGAACTCGGACACTCACGGCAGTCTTTCTCATCCTCTCCCTCTCCGCAGTTGTCCTGTCCATTACAACGGAAGATTCCGGGGATGCAGCGACTGGGGTGAGTACATTTAAACTGACTGGGCAGGCACACGTGGATATCTGGGAGTGGAAACACAACATGTAGGTCGTTCTCATGAAATGTTGGCCTAAGATTTTTGCGGTAAGAGAGAATTGTGTTGCGGAGGATGAGGAAATCATAATGACTGAGCATATTTTAACTCCATGAACCTAAATAGACATTATTAAAGTTTATTTTTCTTTAAAAAAACATTATCAAACATTTTTCTAAATGTGAAAAACTCGCTGTATTAGTAATGGTAATCAGTACTGTTGCGGAAGATGAGAACTTGTGTCATGGACGCTTCATTTCTTTTCTTTTTTTTAATTTTTCAGTCACTTCAAATCATCCATTAGAGCATACATTATTTTTTTTTTCTAGGATATATTTGTTCTGTTAATCTGTTAAAATAATAACATAACATACATGCAGACAAATCTGGAAGCATTACAGTAATGAGAATGTTGTCATTACTGCAATTATTCTTTGGTTCAAATAGAGACAATTATTAGCTTGATGATTATGTTTTGTTATTTTACTAAAAGTCATGTTTTATTACTACAATTGAGACATACCACAGTTGGCCTCGTCTGAGTTGTCCTGACAGTCGTTGTCTCCGTCACAGATGTAGGCGGGGTTGGTGCAGATGCCGGTGCCACACTGGAACTGGCCTGGTCTGCATTTAAACTCAGCTACATCGAGGACACACACACACACACACACATGTCAGTGAGTGACACAAAACCAGTCCAGCGAACAAACAAAACAACAACATGTTTCGATGCTGAGTCAACGGAACGGCACAATCCAATCTGGCCTCATCACTCACGGCAGTCCGCGGGCTCATCGGAGCGATCGCCACAGTCGTCTTCGGTGTCACACTTCCACCAGAAGGGAATGCATTTGTCATTTTTACAAACAAACTGTAGAGACAGAAACGGGAGAAGGATTTTTTTTTTGCAAACTTTAAATGTCTTTATACAAGAAACTATATTAAAAAATATGACTCAAGAAATCACACCCCCAGAAATAGGCAGATTAACACGAACCACCAGGGACAGCTTTATTTCACTGTAATATTACTGTGTGACAAAATATATCAGGCCGGTTGTAAAATATAATGATGAATATTTAGTGAGTCGTTTTTTACTCTGAGTTTTTTTTAATAGGCTAAATAGCTAAACTGAGTTTTACTATCTATAAAAAAAATGAGTAAAAAGAACCAATGCTCACCTGACTTGCGGTGCAGTTGGACAAGCACTGTTTGCCGTCCGCCGCAAGGTAGAAATTAGTGGGACAGGCGCACTTGTAGCCTCCTCCGGGAGAGAGCAAACACAGGTTACTGCAGCCTCCGTTGTCTACTTGACATGGGTGGTCAGCCACTGTGTGACAGCAGAAGAAGTACACGGGCAGATTTGAGAGTAAATCATACGGGGACAACTGGACAAGGATGAAATATTTCCCCGTGATGATGAAGGACAGCTGGTTCTACCTTCGGGCTGGCGGTACGGGTGATAAATGTGGACGTCCATGGGCCGGTGTAAGGTGTTGATGAGCATGGTCTTGTTGACTCCCAGGGTCTTGTGAGCTCTGTTGATGGACTTCGTCTCCCAGTCTGTCCAGTAAATGTACTCCTCGAAGAGTGTCATGGCAAAGATGTGAGGAATATCCTGAGTCAGCACTGTAGAGGAGGACAAATGGACGGAGACAAATTAGCTACATGCCACAAAATGGAAACACACATCCTGTATGTGTGTGTGTGTGTGTGTTACCTATGTGCCTGCTGGAGCCATCCAGGCTGGCAAATGCTATATAGTCCTCCCGGGCGTCAGCCCAGTAAATGCGGTCATTGATGAAGTCCAGTGTGAGACCGTTGGGCCATGTGATCTTATCCTCCACAATCACCGTCCTGTTGGTTCCGTCCATTCCAATCCTTCCGATGTGGGGGCTGTCACCCCAGTCGGACCAGTATAAAAACCTGTCAGGGAGGTTCTGATTTAGTTACACCGAGCAGTGTATGATCGGACCTGTTGATAGTCTCATTATGAAGGATTTAAGAAGAACATACACAGAAAAAAAAGAAGGTTTAGAGATACTGTTGTTCTTCTCTGAACATTCTCAAAATAGTATGCCAAGTGCAATGCAACATGACTCCAGTGTTTTCACCTTCTTCAATCAGCTACGTCAGAGCAAACTAGGTAAAAGCTCTTCAGCTGTTGGGCTGTACTGACCAAGATCAACAGGAACAATCCAGTCAACTGTATCTTAAGTCCTGTTTCTTGATCATGACAAAGTTGTGGGTTAGAATTCACCAAATTAAAATGAATGAATTTATGCCATAGTGGGTAAATTACAGGAGGTTTTAAGTTCATTTGTTTATTTATTGAAAAAAGCAGTTTTTAATGGCAAAATATACATCTGAGTTTTGGGGGAAAAATGTTTGGAAACCACTGGCCTGCGGTGACTCTGATTGAACGTTACGTACTAATTACAATAAACTCGCCGTCAGCCAATAGTATTTTGTCTCTCTCTTACCCGTAGCGTACGTCCACTGCCACAGCACGTGGCTCCCTCAGGCCGCTGTTGACCAGCACTGTCCTGTAGGCTCCATTCAGCTTTGACACCTCAATAGTGTCCCGTCCCTTATCACACCAGTACAGGTTTCCTCCCACCCAGTCCACGGCCAGACCGTCTGGGTTGCTGAGCGACGTACGATGAAGGACCTAACAAAAAAAGCCCACACAGAAGTAGCTGCAGATTGTCAGCCTCACAGAAAGGTCTTTTCAAGATGGAAATACGCAGCAACAAAATAAGAGATTTGTTGCTCAAAAGAAAGGTCAGAGACAGGCACTAACATCACATCACCGTACTCAACTGACCTGAACATCGCTGCCGTTGATGTGCATGCGGCGTATCATGCTGCCCTGTGTGGTCACATCTGTCCAGTAAATCATCTGCTGCCTGTAGTCAAAGTCCAGCGCCACGGCGTTGTTCAAGCCCTGTCAAAGCACGGCAGCCGCGTTAGTCTGAGGCGGCAGCGAACCGCTGCAGTGAGGGTTAGAAAACGGACAGTGTTCATCTGCAGCTCTGACCTGTTTGATCAGCGTGTAGTTGGATCCATCCAGGTTGAGCTTTCTGAGGTAATACCGGTTGGCAAAGATGAGGAAGGGTTCCTCATCTGCGTAGCGAGATATTATTTATGAGTGGATTTGTGTTAAACACTTGTCTGAGCGTAATAGATCAGTCATGTTTCTTACCGGAGGTGGATTTGCATATGGTGGGGTTCACAGAGCTGAGCTCAAATCCCTCCACACAGAGGCAGTGGAAGCTGCCGTGTGAGTTGATGCATCGCTGCGTGCAGGGGTAGGTGGTGGTGCACTCGTCGATGTCCACACACGTCTTTCCGTCGTCTTTCAGGCGGAAGCCTGGATGGCATCGACACTGCGAGGTGGAAGAGCGCGTGGTGGTGGTTAATGGACGGATTAATGGTGGTAAACATCAGCCAATCAGGTGTTGGACGGTGTCGACTCACCTTGAAGCCTATTTTCAGGTCTTCACAGAGCTGAGAGCAGCCGCTCATTTTACTGTTCAGGCACTCGTTGATGAAGCAGTTCAGCTCATCAGAGCCGTCGCCGCAGTCGTCCTTATGGTCACACAGCAACGTCTCATTGACACAGTTTCCATTTTTGCACGCGTAGGCCGTGTCGTTGCATTTTTTCTCTGGTTCATGGAAGAAGACAAAAAGATAACAAAGAAAAAACGCGTTAACTGGTGCAGTATTTATTATTGTTTACACTTTTTATTTACCAGTGTTGAAACCAACTTCAAAACTGCAAATGTCACATCCATATATTTATACTAATGAATATTTCCCAGCATGCTGCAGGGCTACAGATGGCAGTGAGACATTTGGCCTGATCTGTTAATGTCGATTAACGTTTTCCTAATAATTTAGAAACAACGTTTTTTGTTTTTTTTTTGTAAGTAGTTAAATTGGTTTTTACCAACGCCAGTGCAGCGTGGGTTTTTGGGTGCTTCGTCTGAGTGGTCGTGGCAGTCAAAGTCTCCATCACACTCCCACGAACTTTGGATGAGACAGCGCCCGTTGGCACAGCGGAACTCGTTGGGTCCACATGTTGGATATTCTGCAATGCGAAAAAAAGTGGAAAAAGTGAAAAGGACACTCTTAATGTTCTTTTTAACGAGGGTCAGCGGTCCACTCACCGCACTCCTGGGACTCATCTGAGCCGTCGCTGCAGTCGTTGTCATGGTCACACACAAAGTGCTTGGGAATACACTGACGGTTCTGGCACATGAACTCGTTGCTGCTGCATGTGTTGTTGAACACTGAAACATAAGGGAATATTTAATAAATATTCAGTAAATTAGGAAAATAAGAGCCCCAGTGTTGGTAAGAATTCTCAACATAAGCTGCTGGCACTCACTACAGCCAGCCTTGACACTCTCATCAGCGCCATCTGGACAGTCTTTGTCCCCATCACACATCCAAAGTCGAGGGATACAGACGTGTACCCCCGGACACTGAAACGCCTCGGTGTTGCAGGTTTTAGACTCTGGTGAAAATGAAAGAACAAATGTGATTTTCAGTCATTTTCTAAAGTTTTAAAAAAAACAAAAAAAATATTGTTTTCATTTCCAGCAAATGGGAACCATTGCGTTAATGTGAGTTCCAAAAGAGGCTCAAGTCACATGGGTCAAACTTAAGGCCCGAGGACCAAATGTGGCCCACCAAGTCATTTTGTATGGCTCCACAATATAAGACTTCTCACTAGAATCCTCCATATTGTACTACAGTAGTAATACATTTGAAAGCCATGGAACATGCATATATACCACCCCCTACAGGCCAGGGCGGAGAGTTACAAACAACAAAATTTTTTTTTTAATCCAAACACTCACTGCACTGGAATTACAAACAACAAAATTTGTGCTTATACTATGTCTTCAGCAGTAGTTTTAATCCAAACACTCACTGCACTGGACGCCCTCGTCACTGCTGTCGCCACAGTCGTCGGCTCCGTCGCACACCCAGCGTTCGGGAATACAGCGATGGTTCCCACACTCAAATTGAGAGGCTGAGCAAAACTTATCTGGAGGAAGAGAAACAAAGTTTACAAAGTGCACAACAAAAAACTACATCGGTGTAGCGGAGCAGCTTGACGTACCGCAGTGAGCCTCGTCTGCACCGTTCTCACAGTCGTTCTCCTTATCACAGGTCCAACTCAGAGGGATGCAGCGTCCACTGGGACAGGCAAAGTAAGTGGTGTTACAGTTCATTTTCTTCCTTCCTGTAAACAGTGACCAACAAGTCAAACAAGAGACGAGCACATACATAAATTTACATAAATCTGTTAATATTTTTTAAATCTGTAATATGTAATGTTATTTTCTTTTTAAACAATTATGTCGTGGAATTGAACCATGAACCTAAGATGTCTCTGAAATACCTGGGCAGTTTAATTCGTCAGAGAAGTCTCCACAGTCATTAGCACCGTCACACTGCCATGATGGAGCGAAGCAGAGTGTAGTGAACTCGCACTTCTGAAATGTCACTCCCTTCACACCCAGGTGGAAGTAACTGGAACAGTCCGTGGCAGCTGAACAAAAGAGAGCAGAGCCTTTTTATACTCGCAGCCTGAGAGTCCGTTATGGAGTCAGAGACGTTCTCGTTGACCTACAGCAGTACATCTCATCACTGGCGTCCTCACAGTCCACCTTCTGGTTACACTTGCTGGAGTTAGTGATGCAGCTTCCATCCCTGCATTGGAATTGATCGGCTGTGCACAGTGTGGCTGAAGCACACACACACACACACACACAAAGAGAGAGACTTGGCGTTTGTTTACAACAGATGATTTGGGCTGAGTCTCGTTCAACCGAAGGACTGGACTCACTGTTGCAGAAAAGTTCATCAGAATTGTCTCCACAGTCATCCTGTCCATTACACCAGGATCGATGGACCACACAGCGACTATTTGTGCATCGTTTGTAGCCCTTCTTACACAACCGGTTGGCTGAGAACAAGATGTGTTATGAACACAACATATGAAAGTCAACACCGAGAGCGACGACTTAAACTGTGTGGGCAGAGAAAAATGTTTGCCCTTACCGCAGTAGGACTGTTTTTCATCAGACTTGTCCTTGCAGTTAGGAACGCCGTCACAGGTCAGGTTGTAGTTAACACAATCTCCATTTCCACACTCAAACTCATCGATGTAGTTACATGTGGTGTTGATCGCTGTGAGAAAAAGACAAGAAAATACACCTTTTACCATGGTGGTGAAATTATTATATTTGTATTGTTTGAAAGTAGTAAATAACATTTGGATCTAAAATATTTAATCACAAAAGACAGAGCACAATTAAGAGTTTCAACTAGATATTTTGCCTTTCCTGTTACTATTTAATTACTTATTTTATTCCTTTTTTTTTTTTGCTAATTGTAAGACTCATTTTTATTCAACTTTGGCCAAATATTGCTGTATTTAGTTTTAAGTGAGCTCTGTGTTGTCTTTTATTTTGGAAAGGGTTGATTGCACTTTAAGGCGGAAGTTCCCTTGTACGGAAATGGCTCTTATAGCAAAACAGAGACTTGACGAAGGACGAAGTTAAACGTAATTCAGCGTTGTGCCTCAGATACTGAGAAGAAAAACGAAAAAAAACTACAATTAAACTAAAGAAAGAACACATTGCGAAGGGTGAAACGACATTAAATGTTCGACCATGACGCTACATTATGTTGACCGACTGTCCAGCCTCGTTAATGAACGGCTCCAGGTGAACGCAACAAACAGGTAGCGACAGCGGCGATGCTAATTTTTCTAACTGACATTAACCCACCGTTGCCAGTGTTAGTTCAATATATATATGTATACATTGGTTTTGCTTGTACTCGAGTAACATTGACGGGGTAACTACGTCTTAGAAATTAAAAAATAAATAAAAGCATAACCCTAAAATATAGTTTTACATTTCCTTGCTGATTTTTGTATTTTTAACCAATATATTTCATTTGTTTTGTTCCAATATACTTTTATTGTTCTTATGTTTCTGTATTTCTAAATCAGCACCATTGTTAATGAGTGTCACATCTTATTTTTTTTATATTAAAAAAATAATGTATGTTTGCGAGTCTACGTTTAAGGGAAATGTTTGTGAAAAAAACAGGTTCATTTATGCTATGAAAAGCTGCCAGGTTTTCTACTGAAAGCCCCTATCATTTAATGGCAGGTTTTATGTATTAAATATAATAAATAAATATAAAACAAAATCTCTGAATTTGGTGTCCTAAACTTCATGTGAAAAGCCTATTTGTGTCCTAAACTTCATGTGAAAAGCCTAAATACATCATATCAAGGGAAATTAATGAATTAACAATTGAATCGTTCTAATATAACCTGTGTTTGTATTACCTATGCAGGTGTTGTCCTCCAAAAGTTTCCTGTCACCCCGACAGCTGCAGTTGACCCTTCCCTCGGAGGTCAGCAGGCACAGATCCTGACATCCTCCATTGTTAACGCGGCAGAGGGAGAACTCACCTACGAAGAGGTAAAGGAAGAAACACACATACGTGGACTTGAGTAAATAAGAAAGTAGAACGTAGCTTTCCTATTCACTTTACACATTAATCCACATCCTACAGGCAGATCCTTAATCAATGAAGCCAGAGCTCAGCAATCACTGAGAGGCATTATTCAATATGACTCATCCTAAATGGGATTTGCTAAGATCTGCCCTTGTCTCTAAGCTTGTATGGTGGGATGTGAAATGGTTCAAAGGACAAGGAAGGACAAAGATAATATAAAGAAATGATTGAGGAAGCAAGGTTTTAGAGAGAACAGCAAGGGAAATGTGTGTGTGTTGTTTGTTGTTTGTTTGTTCATGTGGCAATAAGGACCTGGATTTGTTGGTGTGTTAACTTGAATCACTTCTGTCATCCTATTAACTGCTCACTCGCACACAGGTTTTTTGTACCAGTGTAATTTAAACAAGGGACAAAGAATAATGACTAAAAAAATTGAAACTGCATTTTTATTCTTTACATGAACACACACACATATACAGTATATTCGCGCACACAAAATCTATATACTCACAGCTGTTAGTGTCATTGGCCACTGCGACGATACCCATTGGTTGCTGAGGGATGTCGGCCCGCAGCACCTTCATCTCTCCACCGGTGAATTTGTCAGCTCGGAGCACAGCCCTGCGGACCCAATCGGTCCAGAAGATGTAGTCGCCATAGACAGCTAGGCCGAAGGGATGGACTGGTTCATTCTTCAGCACCACCTGTAGGGGGAAGCATAACCACAGCCATGTCCTCACGTGGGCAGGAAATGCCTGTCTTGCAATAACATTTGACAGAGTCACCAAATCAGCTGATGTGGTAGTGATGTTCTCTAATTCAGTGATGCACACTCACCACTTCATTGTTTCTGCAATGAACTGTGCGGCTCTTTTTAAGATGTCACGGAGCATTTAATGCAGTGATCTGCACTGTATATGTGCATTATCATTTTTTTATTAGTAGTTTTATTATACTCTCTGCCTTATTGCTCAGTCCTGCAAAGTTTATTCTTCTATCGTACTTTTTACCTGCTCCCTACTGTAAAAGGGCCTCTATGGTGTATTATTTTCTTACGAAGACTTTTTTATTGTCTGGCATTCATTGTGAAGAGTGAAGTAAGAATCACATTGTGCAAGGTAATACACATTTCCCTACTGTGAATATGACAGTGACCTTGAATTTGGTTATTTCCTGAATCTTTTCTCATATTTTTTTGAGAAGTTTGTAAACTGGAGGTTTTTGTTGCTATCTTTGTGAGTATGTTGTAGGTCGGTATTTTATGTTGGACGTGAAAACACTGTGTTATCTTTTGTCCCTTTAACTTAACATTACTGTCCAGATTTGTTGTAATTTTAGGAAGTGCATCAAATTCTCTCGGTGTGATTTTACCTCTCTGCTCCTATACTTTATAGTGTACAGTATATACACATACATATATATGTGCACATACATATGTGTCTATTACTTTAGTACAGTTTAGGGGGACTCACATATCGGCGAGTGCCGTCATACTCGCAGCGCTCTATCTTGTCCAGTGTGGCGTCGGAGAAGTACAGTTTTTCGGCACGGTGGTCTATGGCCAGGCCGTTGGGAGTTCTGATGTCAGTGCCAATGATCACAATGACGTTGGAACCAGTTAATGTGGCACGCATGATACTGGGAGACTGCTCATTCCAATTGGTCCAGAACATGAGGCTGCATAAACAAGAGATAAACAGTGACGTAAAGTTTAAAAAAAAAAAAAGCTAGCATTTAATGGTACTATTATTTATAAATAACTCGGTGTGTTCCAACCTTTGGCACTCATCAAGAACAAATGCTCTGGGGTGGTCGTCCCCTGACATGGTGACCACTGTGTGCCGGTCAACGCCCCCCCAGCGTCTCTTATCCACAGTGTGGCGGGTGATTGTGGAGGTTGTGTAGCTCGTCCAGTAGAGCATATTCCACCCTCTGTGGTATGCTAAGCCCTCCACAGAGCCAACATCTGGGGAAAGGAGGAAACATAGCATTAAACCCAGAGAAGGACGGGGCAGATGAGTAAGTCAATTGGTAGTAATGGCTGAGGACACAGTAAGAGATGAAGCTTTTATCCAACAAATAACTCACTGAAATGGTCACAATCAGTGCTGCGTCAAAAGGCAACATCTGGATTGACGGGCATTGTCGTGTCGCAGAACTGACTTGAGATTATTGATATCACAGCTTGGTAGTAATGGCTGAGGACACAGTAAGAGATGAAGCTTTTATCCAACAAATAACTCACTGAAATGGTCACAACAGATACAAGCTAGAGCACAAATGCAATGCAGACATGGACATGGGTATTTGTTTTTGGCTGTCGGTGCAAAAACGTCAGTGGAAAATATTACAAGTACATAATATTTCTTCAAACATTTTCTAACCTCAGTCATGAACATTATTGTTGTTGACATCTCGTACATGCCAGATGTGAGGCTGGCCTGAAGTGGACCATGGGCAGGATGTCTCAGACCCCTGAGCTAAACTGTTACATCCCATGACACTACTGTGTCATCTACAGTTGAGAAGTTAAATGCAATTTGTCCGCTCCACGTCCTTTAAATGAGTAATACACGGTCTACTTCTCGCCTACACAGAAACCCCAGGGCAGTCGAGAGGCAGCCAAGATGGAGGAACACAAAGTTCTGTAGCAGCAGATAGACAACAGCTGCTGCTCTAAACACAAAGTCCTTCTTTAGTGGGGAGTTTTTTTTTTTTAAACCCAACTGTGTGTCAGATGTCCTCAGCTCATAATAATTATCAAATGTACCCTAACAGTGTACTGCATTCCATCTTTCTGCACTGTAGATGATCTCACTGTTATCACAATTCTGTCCCGAGGATTGGTGAGATTCACCACCAGGTGGGACACTTAACACTCCACTTACAGTGAAATGCCAGGAGCATGAATCAACATTTGTTCAGTCCATGCTATAAGAATTTAAATGAGGCAGAGCTGCTGGAAAGTCACGCAGAGGCAGCAACTCCCTTTTGTCCCTCGCGGTCATAAATCAATGCCCTTAAAAATCAATAGAAGGCTTCGTCAAATCCATTCTCCTTTATTTCCTATTTTCACTGTACTGTTAATGAACAATAAATCTTTGGCCCGGCGCATGTTCTGACTCAAATTCCTCTGTTTATCTCCATGTTGTCGTTGACCTAAGCCTATCTAAAAGGTCCTGTTTGTGTCGGCGTTGGTTGATGATAATGCAGTTGAGCTAAATTTATAGCTGCTGATCTCAGGTGGTTACTGTGACACCAATAGTTTTTTTTTATTGCAGTGTGATCTGCAGCAGGTGTTAGAGTTGTTTACTGTCAGACCAGCAATAATTACCATGATGCCTGAGAGCAAACACCGTCTTATCTTCCCTGTGTATGTTCTATATCAGTATGTATACAGAACTGGACTGAAAGTTCTTAACTATTTAGAAAATTAGCCAAACATTGCACCCTTGGAAAAATTATCTTTGTGTTTAGGTCCTCCCACAAAGAGCAGCCCAGCCCATATCGGCCCTGCTCTGTCATAGTCCAGAGTTCATTTGCCTTTTACTCAGCCCCGATTTGTAAATCTTTTCAGCGACTCTTTTCTCCCGTCCTGCTCGTCTGGTGTTGGGGTTTTAAAGAGAGGCTGTCTCTGTGGAGCAAGAAGAAGGCTGATTGTGGATTTCTGACCTGATTACGGTGTCATGTGGAGTTGCTGCCTGCTTGAAAATGACAGAAAATCACAGCATTTACCTCTCAGAATTTGGATGCTCCTAACAACAGGCTTTGTAGATGGATTGGGACCTCAGCGACTGAAAGGAATCTGTAATGATCCAACTTGGACGGAGGTTTTTTGCTTCCATAGCCAATCAAAGGTGAAGATGACCTAATTAATAGGCTGCACATTCAAGGACTTTCATACAGTAGATACCAGACTCTCAATCAATAAATTGTAAATGTTGTTATTTTGAATTAATAGGCAATAAATTGTAAATGTTGTTATTTTGACTAACAACATTGATGTCAGATGACTGGAGATCATTTCTAAGAGCAGGATGGGTAATCATTTCCCAGTGGATTATTAGTAATCTCATGACTGGGTGGAGCAGACTGGTGCTACCTGAGGCTGACAGTAGCTGAATACCTGATATAAACCAACAAAACAAAAGACCAAATGGTGCCGTGGAACACTACTGCCTCACAGGGTCAACTGGGAAATCACAGTGACAATGGACTGGCTGATGTGGAGAAAATCCTAGTCCCAATTTTAGACACTCTCATACTAGTACTGGGAGTGGGGGGCCACACTGTGGTGATGGTGATCTTGTGTGGGAGGCTTAGGCGAGGGACCGGACCGGTTGGACAGTCTGTGCGTAACTCCAGTGCAGGCACAGGGACGGACATCCTCCTGGTGGCTCTGAGTGTCGCGGACCTGCTGCTGCTCTCCATGCTTCCCTTCCACACCGTTGCCATAGCCATGCAGCGATGGCCGTTCGGGGACTTCATGTGTCGTCTGGTGGGCTTCTTGGGCTCGGCCTGCTCTTCAGCCAGTGTCTTCACCCTGGCTGTCCTGGCTGTGTCGCGCTATTTGACTATAGTGCATCCTGCCAAAGCCTACAGCCTCCTCTCCTCACCCCGGGTGTCTGCTGCTGCTGCACTGCTCTGGGTGCCGGCCTGCTGCCTTGCTGTCCCACAGCTGGTCTTCCGCTCAGTCGGCACTCCAAAACTAGCTGCTGACGGACTTGCTTGTTTTTCCTTTCAGTCTCATCGCGACCAGGTGATTTATGGATTGGTTCACTTCGTCATGGCCTTCCTGCTTCCCCTGATTACTATTGCGGTGGCCTACAGCAGCATCTATGTTTTTCTGTGGCGGAGTCAGAATAATGGAAGAGCCCCCCAGGTAGAGCGCTACCAGAGGAAGGTGACGCAGACTTCAGCCATGTTGGTGCTGGCTTTTACTCTGTGCTGGCTGCCTTCCTATGGACTGATGCTGGCCCTGCTGGAGGATAACCGCTCAGGAGCCACAGGCACCTCGCCCCGTTATGGTGCTTTTACTGTCTTTGCACGCGTCATGGCTACCTCGTCCACCGTGGTGAATCCTATCCTTTATGTCCTAATGTCTGAAAAATTCAGACAAGACCTACTGCGGCTCTTCAAGAGGGCAGGGCAAAGAGACGGAGGGGCTGTGACTGTGACTGCTGCTGGATCGTAACACTGTCAGGATCTCAGTCATGACTTGCAAAAACTCTGATTTATTCATCATTATATCATATCATCATTTTATTTGTATCGCATCATTTCCTCTGTATCCTGATATTGTATGTATTGTATCACCAGATTCTTGTCAGTATACCTGACCCTAATAAATCCTAATACATGAGCACTCACTTTGAAAAAAATGGGTTTCTCAGATTATTACGTACTTCCTTCCACACTACTTTTTACCTGTTGCTCCGTGAAGTACTGTACTGTAAAAACTTTACACTTTTTACCTGTTGTACTTCACAAGTACAGTACTTGTGAAGTACTGTACTGTAAAAACTTTACAAAGACGAGGAGTTGTTTGCTTTAATACTCATACAACAAACGTGCAACAAATGTTTTAAATTATACAAGATTTAACCTTTTGGGAGGAGCACGTCTCCAGGGACTGTGGGACAATGTCCAATCAGACTTGTACCTGCGTTTATGTGCTGACACATGCTGTATAAAGGCTTGCCTGTCTCAGCATCTGTTCACACTTAAAGACAAAGTCTTCTCAGAACGATGATCAAACTGTTTTTATTTCTACTCTGGCTACAACCTTAGAATAAGAGTTTCTTTGTTCTGTTTTGAAGCAAGCTGTTTATTTTCTTGCCAAGATTTTAACTGGGGTTTAATGTGTGGAACTGAAGCTTTTTTGTGTGGAACAACTACAAATGTGTCTCGAATGTTGACAAAGTTGTGGGTAAATGATTGAAAAACAATAAAAATGTCTATAATTTTTTTTTTTTCTGAACAAAAGATAAGGATGTACTCACTCTCTACTACAGTCTTGCGGTCAGATCCGTCATCGCTGATCTGCTGGATGTTACCAAAGTGGATGTCGCTGAAGAAGATGCGGTTGGCTCCCTTCCCTCCTCCTCCTCTGTAGTCAAAGGTGAGCGCGATGACGTTCTTCATGTGTTCGGGGTCTTCAAACGGTTTTATGGGTGCGTTGAGGTTGTTCTCGTCCGACAGATGCACGCTCTTCAGTATGGTGCGTTCTGAATAAAGGAGGTAGCCGTCGTAGTCGCGGCAGGCTTGGCCATCCTCAGCCAACATGCCGTGGGCACATGCACAAGTACGCTTCCCGTGTCCACGGTAAAGACACAGCTGCTGGCATCCGCCATTCTCCTTTTTGCAAGCATTGGTTCCTGCGCAAAAAAAGATAGAATTGTTTGCTTAATATATTTGCTTTTTTTTACCTTTACATCTCCAAATACAGTATTACAGACGTCTTTGACAGGTTTCACAGATGTTACCTTGTTGCCTGGCCCTGTTGAAAACATCTTTGACAGGTTTCACAGATGTTGTTGCTGTTGTACCTTGTTGCCTGGCCCTGTTGAAAACCTTGATGTCTTTTAACTGCACGCCTATGCCAGTCCTTAGAGACACAGACTCGGTGGCATTGTCCTTGTTGCCTCTCTTTATGGAGCCGTTTGCGTGAGTTCTGTTGAAGCAGTGTGAAAGTGTTGTATATTATACAGCAGGACAGGCCTAATGTATGGTATAAGTTAAAGATAATTAGCCTGTGTACACTGTACAATGAACTCGCACTACAACTAGCATTTTAATTTAATTTAGGAACCACACACACATTCACACACGCTCAGAAAGCCACTGCCAACACAGCGAAAACCAAATCAAAACAACTGTGGGTGGAGGGGCGGAGGGGGGCACACATACCATAGTTTGAGAACTGCACATTCATAGCATAAAATGCAGTAAATGTCTGTGGTGTGGCTTCGTAAAAGTATTTGTTTTTAGGTAGAAAAATGTTTTGCTCTTTGGTGTTTTTGTAGGTTATAAAATGATCACGATTCATTTTTTTGTTGTTGAATAATTTACAGCAAGTGCACTTAAAACAGGATGAAAAATATATGTGACATAATGGAACAAAACAGAACCCTCTGGCCTCAGTAGAAATACAGTGTAACTCTGTGGTTCAGTACAGCCTACGTTATAGTCGCTGACGGTGGACAAATCTCATCTGAAGCAGGACAGGTGAGACTGAGTAGGAGGGTGGCTCTGACCTGTCACTCCAGTAAATGTAGCTCTCAAACACAGACACAGAGAACATGTCCATGTTGTTATTGGCAAGAACCACTTCTCTGTTGTCCCCAGTTTCCAGGTTGATGCGCTCAATCTTGTCAGTTCTGGCATCACACCAGTACAGCAGCCCTTCCTATAAAGCACACAGTAACAGATAGGATAATGTAGTCATAATTGGGTTCACTCTGATACACAGCTGTGCCAGAACAGTGCGGTGTTCGTCACCTCATAGTCAATGGAGATGCCATTAGGCCAGCTGATGCTGACGTTGACCAGAACAACCCTCTGGGAGCCGTCCAGTCGAGAGCGCTCGATGCGGGGATACTGACCCCACTCTGTCCAGAACAGATATCTGCTCACATAAACACAGAAGAACACGTGATGCGATTTAAAAACATACAAAAAGACAACAGTTAACGGAGCCTCTCGTCTCCTCTCACCCTTTCTCAGGATGAACGGTGATGGCACGAGGCTTGTCCAGGCCCTGTGAGATGACGACGTAGCGGAAGGAGCCGTTCAACCTGGCCACCTCAATCACATCAAACCCTTGGTCTGTCCAGTAGATGTTTCCTGTGTTCAAATTGGTGAGAAATGATGCTCTGATTGGTGACGACAGTGTATCGATTTAGTGACGTTTTTGTTGGTAACAGATTGTCCAGGAGTCCCAAGGACATAACGTTAAAGACAAGGAAAACATGCAGCTGAAATTCACTGTAAATCATAATACTTTTACCGTACCATGTTTAAAAGTGGTTCTCACCTGCTATCCAGTCAACAGCAATACCCTCCACTCTGCCAATGCCATTAGTGACAACGTCTTCTCTCCAGGTCTGGTCTCTCTTGGCCCTGCTTATAGTGCTCAAGCCCATATCAACCCAGTAGATAGTATCATTATCTGAAAGAAGAAAAACATTGTTATTCTGAATGCATAAATACTTATATATATATTATATATATATTTTATATATATTTGTATATTTTATATATTATTATAATATATTTGTTGGATCAGTGTATACATAGGTCTGTCAAAATGAATGCATTTATTCATCGTAATCATTTCAGTTCATATAATCTATTCAAACATCAGTTCACAATTATGGCATTAACCATGATGATTAAATTGTGAAATTAATCAGATAACATATTTAAATGCATGCGCAAAATAATATTTCCATTGTCCATTTACAGGACTCCACATGAGTTTGAGTATAAAAAATTACAAAGATGATGTTATTCACACAAACTCCGGTTTTTATTTCACCTAAGCAACTTGAGTTTAAAATACCATCTCACTGCCCAGTATGTTGGGCAGGACAATCTATTCTATGAATTTTTAATTAATTTTTGGTAAAAATGTTTTGCCGTCATAAGAGGAGATTTATATAAAAGTCCTCAGTGCATTACAACTGCAACAGTTCTTACCAGCATGGAAGTCGATGCCAACGGCTAACGATGTGCCGGAGACTGGTACGAGGGCGTCAGACTTATCTGAGGGGTCCAATGGAATACCACGAATGCCCTCATGCACAGAATACAACAGGAAAGAACCAACTCCTGCAGACAAATAAAACCCCAGCACATTTCCCCGGTTTATATCAGTAAAGTGTTACATTTAAGATTGTCTTCAACCAGAAATAACTTTAAACTTTGGCTACAGCGCAATGTGTGAATAACGGTGTCGTACCCTCACAAGACTGCTTTCCTCGACGTAGGCTGTATCCTGCTGTGCACATGCAGACTCGGGTTGTTGGAGAGGTGGGAAGACACAGCTGGGAGCAGTCTCCATTGTTATTACTGCAGAGATTGGTGCCTGGGAACACAAAAGCAAAGGAACAAATGGACCAAACAAACCAAAGATGTGCCACAATGACGTGCACAGATGTGCTGTAGTGAAGGTAAACAGGGTGCAGGCACGAAGCGAAACAGTCCATTATCACGGTGGAGGGTTTGTCGAAAAGAAAAAATGGCATTTGCAGTTCAGCCTGTACCTTTTTGCACAGTTTCGTTGTAGATTTTCATGTGCATCATGGGGGACGTGCTGTTTCTCAGGACTTTCCAGTTTCCTCCGTCCTTCTTGTTACAGGTTCCTATTTGATCTGTTCCTTGGTCTGCCCACCAAAGCTTTTCACCTAGAGGTCAAACGCACAAATGGAGACTTAACTACACAGACTTTAACACACTGTACTGTAAACTGTAAGCCTAAAAACAGAGCCAGGTCACATGTCATGTCTACAGTCTTAAAAAGCCTTCACCCAGCAGCCTGCAGTGTCTATTATTGAGCTCTAATTAATTTCATGCAGCTTCTTGGTATTTCACCATAGTGTAAAAAAAAAATCTCTGCAGAGTTCCCTTGTAATTACACCATCATGCTAAGCCACTGCTGGTTAGGCGAGCAGAGTAACGAGCCGAGTGTGCATTTCCACAGATGATTCCACTGTGACACAGCTAACTGTTAAACATAATGTGGGTCAGTGCCAGTGCTGTATGTATGAATAAATGAATTTATGCAGATGATGCAAAAATTGCTTAACTTCACACCTTGAGGTCTGCACTGTGTGAAAGCCCAATGGATATTGAACACGTTTTTAGACTTTTCAAACACTAATTAGGTGACTCAAAGTAAGAAAAGTTTAAGAAGGAAAAGTGAAAATGATGGTGGCTCAAGTTTGGCTCGACCACAGATGATTTCATGAGCAGCTGGAGAATGATGCTGAATATTCATTAGTGAAACTAATGTGTTTTGCAGGCGTACCCATGATGGCCAGGGCGGTGGCCTTGGTCAGTTTGCCCTTGACACCTTCCAGCACCTCCAGCCCAGAGCCGTCCAGTTTGCAGCGGTTGATGGTGCTGTTGCCTGAGCTGATCCAGTAAAGCTGCTCGGTGTCAAAGTCAATCGAGAGACCTGGGAAACAGAGACAGATGAGGTATGTAATGAGTCGCCCCAATTCTATCACATCCAGTCACGGCAGAGGCACAGACGATCACGCACCGACAGGGCCCTTTTGGTTTGTGAAGAGGACGGAGCGGTTGTTGCCATCTGTGTTGGCCATGCTGATGTTATCTCCATCTGTCCAGTAGAGTTTCCTGGAGGACGCGGGGAGAGAAAATTAGGCAATAAAAACAAAAAAAAAAAGCACAACAAGCAACAGTTGGAAAGTGTTTTTCTCACAAAGTAAATAATGCCACTCCATCACACTGACTAACACATCATTTAATCTGAAGCTTGCCAGCTAGGGCTAGCAAACTTATTTAGGCATGTGTTCATTTTAGTATAAAATATAGTAGAAAGTTTCTAATGCACACTCGTTTAGCAGATGAAGACTATGGTAGATGGCAGAAAAGAAATCATTCCTATTTGGACCAATTACACAGATTGGTGGTAATTGACAATTACTGCCACATCAAAAAATGATCAAATCATCTTATGTTGTAAACAGACCAGGATTACTGTATATTTTCAAACTTGAGCTCCACCTAAGTTAGACCAAGAGTGTTGACGTTGGAGGAGCAGCCACAAAAAAAAAGACAGCTTTAGTGTAAACAATTGCCAGCAATGAAATTGACCTCTGTGACGCATTGGGCCCTGTTGTTGACTCCCCCATTCTCCTCCAGTACACACACACACACACACACACACAAACACCTTCCACTTGCCTGGTGGTTCAGACCAGTGTCAGACTGGTCCAGGTCCCCACGTACATCCAGAACACGAGGCTCAGAATGATTGACTGTCATCCCTGTGTCTGGAGTATCTGTAGTCTGTGTTTAAAGGACATCAATCCTTCAAACCCATCACCCACTTCTTGTCGAACCACATCCACCACACCCTTCATTTGTTTGTGAATAAGCCTTTAAATAAAGTTCCTAAAGCATTTACCCTCCCACAATGGCATATTGTACCGCAAACACACATACGCAGACACACACAAAGATGCTGTAGTTTGAGGTCCTCCCTCCCCTCACTGCATTTGTCCCCACCCACTTGTGAACGTATTCTGGGCAGTGTGTTTGTGCCAGAAAGAGGAGTCAGCCCCAGCATATGGATTTAGCATCTGCTTCTCATTTTCCCTCCGTGCCAACAACACTCAGATCAGAGACATTCCTCTGCCGGAGTCTTTTAAAGAGCAGAAGACCAGAGTGTGCACCAAAAAAACACGAGGAGGCAAAAACATTCATAAGAAAACATCCTTCCTCATCTAACTCAGATAGTGAAAGGCAAAAACAAAAAAATTCCTCCAGCAGGACAAAATAAAGTCTATAAATACTGCACAGATGTTTCTTTTCTCTCCTGTTGATGGAAAGACAAGAGGCCCGGGTCAGGGCAGGTCAGAGACGGGGGTTGATGTTTCAGAACGGTAAAGAAAATGCACATTTGTCCAGCAGAGAGTAAGAAAAACAAACAAAACAGAGAAACAGTGACAGGATGTGACTGGGCCTGACAGTAACCTATCTGAGCTTTAAAAATTACACATGGAGCAAAAGTGGGGAGGAAAAAAAAGGGAAACAGGAGGATGAAACCTTATTACAACTGAGGGTAAAAACAGTCAGAGGTTAGGGACCGTGTGTGGAAGGTTAAAGGTGAGAACAGCAGGAACTCTGTGTTTATGGGACAGTGATGCCCAACCACTGTGCTGCAGCACATTAGTGTAGCATGAATACAAACTCTCTTCATTTGTCTTAAAATGTATATGTAATTAATGCAAACAATTTGCCCTTGTTAGTTTATGGGACTCTGACAAGAATGACTAATCAAATACTCTTCTACTAGGGGGCAGCAGATGGCTGTAAAAACTAAAAAAAAAAAAAGATGGAGACTCAGCTGTTGAAGAAGCTCTTCGTCCTGTGAGTATATCAGTGTTTTCTATCCAGTCAAGCCCAGCTGTCACAGTGAGTGAGTAGATTTAAACTAAAAAGTGTAAACTACATTATATTTCAAAACATATCATTTTCTGTGACAGTTATGAGTAGTGGTTCAGCGTTGGGATGTTTCAAATGAAAAATATTTCCTGCGGCTAAAAGAAATGTCAGTAAAACACTTGAACAGGACTCACCCTAGTATTGGATGCAGCACCAGGCAGTGTGGTTTGTCCAGTCCCTGTATGACAGCATTTTTGAAGGAGCCGTCCAATCTGGCAACATTGATCTGTTTCTTGTTGGCGTCATAGCTGGTCCAGAACAGGTTTCTGGAAACCCAGTCCACAGCCAGGCCATGGGCATTGGGCAGATCTGGGGACCAGGAGGAAAAAAGATATTTCGATATGGTCTTTGTTAAAACGCTGACGTAAACAACACAGCTCAAAGTCTTTCTTTTTCAGGTTAGCTTTGGAGCTGCCTTAAAGTGTTCAACAACAGTCTGTGAATGAACTTATTGCAACTCAGAGCATGATCTGTCTGAAAGTAAAATCATTGGATATTATTGGATGTCACATCCATACCACAGGCGACCACGGTCTCAACCCCGGTGCCGTTGATGAACGCTCTCTTGATGGTCTGAGTCCGGACGTCTGACCAGTAGATACGATGCTCCAGAGCGTCATAGTCCACTGCCGTCACGTTATCGATGTCAGGCACAGTGAAGGAGATAATGTAGTTGTAGTACGGGTTGTCGATGTCCACTCCTCTGATCTCGTTCTGGCGAGCGTAGAGCAGAAACTGACGAGACTCTGTGCCAGGGGAGAAGTTGACAAGAATCCTTCAGAAGAACGACAAAGCTGTGGTGTCGCACACTCACGCCACACGGGTGGATTAGTGGTTGCAGCGTGGATGGTTGCATCCGTGCATTATTCCTGCCACGGGCATTAACACGTTAATTCAATTGCATCTGCGACTGACTGACTGAACTACAGTCTCGGCAGCAGAGGGCGATTCATCCAGCGCGGATTCATTACAGCTGGATTGGTCTCAACAGCCTCATCCACATTTAACTGTGTGAAGCCTAAATGATGGACAGGAAAAGTGTGAAAAAGACAGGGAGAGGAGGGGAATAATGACAGTGTCAGGCCGTATCAGCGAGACCTGGCTTGGCGTGAGACGTGGAAGTTTGTGGCTGATGCCTGCTCCAGAGAAAATAGGACTCTCCATTCCATTACCCCTGAAGATAATGGAAAGTGTGCACTGAATACTAACTCCCATACTGAGAGAAGAAAAAAAAAAAAAACAGGCACTCTCTCGGTTTTCACAACAGACTCTTCAATGTGTTCCAAGGTTGTCACAGCAAAAGGCCAAAGAAAAAAGGAACAAAAACAAAATCTTGACTGTTGAGGACTGTTTCCCTCTTGTTCTTTTGAACAAAGACACCATAAAAGACAAACGCTCGGGGAACACTTTTGTAAAGACGGGGGATTACAATGACTTTCAGCTAGAACTTTGTCAATAACATTACTGTACAGTGGCTGCGTTATGTTTTATTTATTTACTTTTTGTGTGTGTGTGTGTGCATACTCACCGTAGCAGGTACATTTGTCAGGACCCAGTTTCATGAGGTGAGGACAGGCACAGGAGAACGTCTGGTTGTAGTTGATGAGACACAGGTGAGAACAGGGATCTTTGCCGTCTTTAGCTGCACATGGGTTTGGAGCTGTGGAGACGTGAGGAGGGAATAAGACGGAAATCACTGACGATTAAACTGCACCGGAACAACAGGAAACAAAACAGCCAAGCAAAGCTGACATATGAATGAAATATAAATCTTGTATGCTCTGTAAATGCTGTCAAAACTGCTTTAAAGAGCTTTTTGAACCAACATTTTTATTGACAATTCCACAGTACTCGCAGGTGTTTCTGTCTCTTACCCTGTGGCTGTCTGGATGGATGGTAGACCTGCAGGTCAAAAGGTTGAGTGTTGGTCCTCTGAACGACAGTGACGTTACTCCCGGTCCATTTGTTGGCCTTGGCCAGCGTGTTGGTCCTCCAGTCCGTCCAGTAAACCTCTCCTCCGTACATGGTGACCGCAAAGGGATGGGACAGATACTCGTGACCCCTCAGTACCTCAATGAGTCCAGAACCGTCATATTTGGCTGAGTAGATGGCGTCAGATCTATAGACAGGACACGTCACGTTACATTTCCTGGTGTAAAAAAGAAAAAACGGAGTCAAACAAAAGTTCAAGCTCTCTGACCTGGCATCGATCCAGAGGATCCGTCGTTCCAGGTAATCAACGGTGAGTCCGTTGGGCCAGCCTCCGTTGCCTGTTTCTTTGTGGATTGTCTTCCTGCCTTCTCCACTCATGGACGCTGCTTCGATTCTTGGCAAGCTCGCATCCCAGTCTGTCCAGAAGAGGATCCTGGAATATAACGCAACAACATGAAGAACCCACTCTGCTGTTGTTCAGCCTTAAAGACACGTGACAGGAGCAGGAGAAGGTGTCGTTACCCATCCCGAGGATCGAGGGCGATGGCTCGAGGGTGCTCCACGTCCCCAGCCAGCAGTGTCGTCCTCATGGTGCCGTCCAGTTTGGCTACTTCGATCTGATCCAGGTTGCTTTCCACCCAGTAAATGTTCCCTGCTATCCAGTCCACTGCCAGACCCTCAGGGGTGGCCAGGCCGTACTGGATTACGACATCGTAGCTGGTCAAGGCTGAGAGGAAAGACAGAAAATACAGAACAGATGATCAAACAAAAACATGTCATTCTTTTGTTATTGTGGACAAAGGAATTTACAAATTTAACAAGCAATAATCTAAATTTATACTAAGTGTCCGAAACAATGGATTCTGTGACACGGCAATAATCGCACAGACCACAGAAGGTCTAAATATGTGGTTGCAGTGATGTCTCCCAGCCCATTTAAAACCCACTCATTTACATCCTAATCAGAGGGTGGTGTTTACTGTAATTGTGATGAGTCATTAGCCCGTGTGCAGCACAAACACACAGAGCTTCAGTAACAGTGTGACACCTGGTAAATTGAGTTATAAATCAAATAATTTGTCATAATATGCCAAAACAATTGAATTAACAGCGTAGGTTCACGTTACGCAGTTGTTGTTAACGATTTTACAAATGCTGTCTGAGCCGTTGGCAGCTGTTTCTGTTACGGTGATGGAAGCTAACGGCTAACTTCAGTCGTCTGTTCACTGTTTAAGATTGTTTCACATAATCGTGATAGAAAAGATAATAATAATAATAATAACAACTACGTAGGCAGTGAAAACTGGCTGCTGGTTTGTCCATAAAGTTGGATGCGTTCTGCTGCAGGGAAGGAAAACCGTATAAGATAAGATAAAAATATCTTTATTAGCCCCACAGTGCAGATCTTTGGTACACTGCAGTAGCAAATAAAGTGTGAGAAAAGTATTGAGAAAGGTCAAAAAACAAAACATCAAACTTACTGGAGGATATCTTACTGCAGTTAAGATTAAATAAGTCTTTTACTTTCTACTAAACATTAACGTACAGTACGTCACCACCGTAAGGTGATGATCTGCACCGTTTACTCCTGTGTATAGTTTCAATTCCACATTTACTGCTACCCTGCTCTGCTACACACTACTGTACGCCTCAGCATAGATGTTGCACTACTTGTAAAATATATATTTTAATAACAGTCATGTGTTTTAGGTTTATTCGAGTTATGTTGTATTAGTATTTTTAAGCATTCAGTTATTCTATTCTATAATGAAAAGACAGTAGGACTAGCGGTGGGTCATAGGTCATTTGACCACACAAAAAATATACCAACAGTTAAATCTAAGTGGGTCATAGGTCATTTGACAAAAAATATACCAACAGTTAAATCTATTTCTTAATAATTAAAAAAAAACAAAAAATGTTTTTTTTTAATATAGAACTTATACTATAAAATAAGAATATGGAATATAAAAAAGTTTGGCTGAGGATTTTCAAACATAGCGCAGCATTTCACTATATTTCTTTATTGCGTCAGGATTTTTTGTTTTTCATGCTCAGATCCTTTTGTATAATCTGTATCTCTTATTGGTTACGTTTTAGATTCTTTAGTGCCCATGGCACGAGACAGGCTGCTTAACAACGGGGCATTTAAAGAGCATCCATCAAAGGCTCTATTTCTGCAACTAATGATGTGTCATGGCTCGTTACTTTGTGCTGTTGTGCAGCAGAATTGTCGGTCAATTAAAAAAGAAGAATTGATGTGAGCACAGACACAATCTGGGACGTGATGAAGAGGAGACTGAGACAACAGCAGCCAGACTGCACTTTGATTCATGTTTTTTTGGCCCAGCCAAGAATGACAACACTCACCTCCATTCTCAGACAACTTGCCACGAAAGATCTTATCCTCCACCACATCCGTCCAGTAGAGGGCGCTTTGGCTTAGATGGAAATCTAGAGCTATGGTGTTCCTGAGGCCTGGCACCAACACACTGAACTCTCCCTTATTCAGATCAATGCGGCGAATCTCGTGGCGGTTGGAGAAGATGATGAAGGGCTTGAAGGGATCTACGGAGAAGACGCGAACATTTTTTTTTTCTAACTAGAAAAACAGACCGACTGTAAAGACTTTTGAAAATTGTCGTCGGTTTGATCAAATGGCTTGGAAAACGCCATGGGTGTGAATGTGGCTCTAATCCTGGGCAGTGAAAACAGAGTGTAAATAAGTCAGGAGTTATCGCTGCCCAACAGGCTGCCAGATAGGCACCAAGAAGAAGAATGAAGGCTGCTGGGAAGTCTTTATGGCCTGGCAGTGAAAAACCACGCAGCAGTTGCTGCTTTCTTTATCGATAATTGCCAGAGGGAACTTTATTCTTTAAGTAGATAGTAAAAGTCAAAGCCAGTTCACTATAACTGACTTGTTCCCAATTTTCACCTCTGTATTTACAACTGTCCTAGTTTTTGTATTTAGAAATGATCAAATTCTCTCCTGCGTTATTGTACACTCATTTGAATGACCTTCTGTCTGCACCGCTCTCTCTCTCTCTCTCTCTCTCTCTCTCTTTTGTCCAAATTAGTATCATTTTTTTGGCATACGCTGGCTCCAGAAACCGCACGTCTTCCTGCTATGGCAGACTATTCTCTGCACAAACCCACACCCACACCACAGTCTCCCTAAATCTACAGTCTCAAGACATTAAAACCCCAGGACTCAGTCACCACTCTGACATCCATTCTCCATGTACGGCCTCCATCAATCAAGCACTCGCTTCTTCTGGTGTCTTCTAACTTTCCTCCCCCACCCTCCCCATCCTCTCTTCCTCCTCCTCTTCCTCCGTCTCTCACCTGTGCTCTTGCAGTTCTCCATGTCAGGCTCCAGTTCCCAGCCCTCATAACATGAGCATTTGACACTGAACTTGTCCTGTTCACAGCGCTGACTGCACATGAGGTGTTTGGCACAGAAGCTCTGGATCTGGCAGGTCTTGTTGTTGGGCCCTAACTCCATGCCCAGTGGACAGGAACAGATCACACCCTCACCAGGGGCCACCGTGCAGTTGTGGCTGCAGTCGCCATTGTCCAGTGAGCAGAGGTCTATGAAAGGTCAGAAGAGAATCACAGTTGAAATGCGGGTGAAAAAAAAGTACAATTAGACTAGTATGAAGTACCGTTATACCCCACCACCCCCCGACCCCAGAGATTTTAATGGGTACTGCCCATTTCTTTATTTGCCTTGGAGGAGTAGGACATTTACAGTATTGTTTTTTATTTTGGCCAAAATGATAAACTCAAGTGATTTGATTTAAACTGTACACACTGTACCTTTAAAAAAACCTAATTTGATATATTTTTGGTTTGTTATGAAACACCTTCTGAAACCGTTTCTACTTTCTTACCGCAGAGTTTCTCGTCGGTGCCATCTGGACAATCGTTTTTGCCGTCGCACAGTTTCTCAGTTGACAGACAGATGGAGGAGTCGTTGGCACACATGTGGTGAGAACGCTTACACACCAGCGCCTCACAGTTGTCTTCATCGGAGTTGTCCTCGCAGTCACTGTCCCCGTCGCACACCCATGCTTTGCTGATGCAGCGGGCTGCGGACAGAAGGTATGGTTGTTTTAAAAACCAACTTTGTGCGCGTACAAAAATATCCCGCTCGTCTTTGAAGCGCCGTCCTCTCACCAGAGTCCCTGCAGCCAAACTTGACAGCTGGATCACACATATGCGTGACACCTTCACAGTTCTTTTCATCACTCAGGTCCATGCAGTCGGTGTCACCGTCACAGCGCCACCGCAAGGGGATGCACAGGCCGTCCACTCGACATTGAAACTCGTCCGTGTGACACCCCCCGGGAGGACGTGTGGCTGTGGCCAAAAGAAAAAAATAATGACAGTAGAAAATGACACTGTCTTCAGTCGCTGCCTGCATAAATCAGAAATACATAAATACCTTGAGCGGTGATGTGTATTATGATAATGAGGAAAATGTAATAAGAAATCTGCGCTGCAAAGACTTCATTTAAAAGGTCACGGTCGAAATGTCGTCGAGTAAACAAAAACGTAGACAGACTTATGACACAGCATCACATTTTAAACAATGCTCATCTGTTTATATTGATAAAGAAAGAAAATGAAACCTAATGCAGTGAAAACAAATACCATTGGCAGGGAAAACTGCAATATCCATTTTGTTTTTTTCTAAAGTGATAATTTGTTTCTCCACTCACCCTGATTGGTGCAGTTTGCGTTCGTCTCGTCACTGTAGTCGCCACAGTCGTTATCGCCGTCGCAGGTCCAGTAATCCGGTATACAGCGGCCACTGTTGCATTTGAACTGAGCGCTGGAGCAGGAGTGACTACATCCTGCCTCATCACTGTTGTCCCCGCAGTCATTATCTGGAAAACAGACAAAGTCAAACAACCCCCGCTCCAGTATATACAGTACATCTGAGGTCCCACTGATATGAAAGAACACATTATGAAAATGTTTGTTTGGTTGTTTGTTTTTTTTTTTTGCTCAATTAAAACATTTACATTACAAAGACACACATGAAACATAAAGATGAAACTTAAAAAAAAATATTTTTCAGAAACTGCATAGATCAGACCATGCACCATGAGGAAATGTACCCAGTGAAGATACATTAAGCTGGCAGCAGAGCAACAAAAGCACCTCCATGACCCGGTAAGACCCAGACTGTGACTATACTTCACCTTATATATATATATATTATTGTATTTATATATATATTTATATCTTATTTTACAGTAACTGCTCTCATAGTCTTTCAGGTTGAGATATAACCTTGTCACAAATTTAGTCCTTCCATCCAGATCACTACCACCAAGAATAACAGGGTTTTCCACTCTACCTATTCGACTTAGTCACGCTCCGGGAGCTTAGTTTAGTTCAGCTTCAGACCTGTGTGCAGCAGACCAACGGGATTGCAGCAGTATTAGCCTCTTCTTCTTTAACACTTGACGTTCACTGAGCTAAAAGCAGCCCTGATCTCCTTCTGTTTCCACACCTAGAGCTAAGGCTAGCGTCGCAGCTGTTATGGTGCATGTTGATCTATGCACTAACCGGGCAGTTTTGGACAATTCAACTCATCAGAGCCGTCCCCACAATCCTTTTCTGAAAGACAGAATGAAGGGAAGACAGCAGAGTGGGCAAACGGAACAACAAACAGGACAAAAAACACAAAACAAAAAAACGAAACAACAACAACAACAGCACTGAACGATGACAGGTAGGAAAGCAAAGGTGACAGACATTACACATTGACAAACAAAGTGACAAAAAGAATGGAGCGTGGGCCAACGTAGGGGCTCATCGCTAACTGTGAGTGGCCATTATCACTCACCATTATCACAGCGCCAGTTTATGTTAATGCAGCGTCCATTGTTGCAGGTAAACTGGGTGAGAGGGAAACACGTAGGGTAGGCTGCAGACGGAAAAAAACAAACAAAACACAAACACCTGAAAAAATCTGCCAGAGGAAGACCCTGCAGCTACGGTTGAAATCTGTGAGAGAAATGAACCAACCACAGGAGGCCGGTTCGTCCGAGCGATCGCCACAGTCATCGTCCAGGTCACATGTCCAGGAAAGAGGGATGCAGCGCCCACTCGCACAGGAGTACTGATTAGGTGGACAGGTACGTGCTGAGAGGTAACAACAGCGAGGTCAGTGTTTACTCATTTAAAATAAATTATCTGTCTGTATCAAAGAAAAGAAAACACTCTTAAAGCTGACACTGTCGTCACATCGGACAATATGAGTTACACAGTGCTCTTCAATCTGACACTGTTGTCACATCGGACAATATGAGTTACACAGAAAGATAAAATTGATTTAAAAATGATTGGTTAACACAGCCAGCTGAACAGAAAGTGAGCGGAGCTTTTACACCAATAGCACAATTATCACTTTCTCCACGTTTCAGTAAACACAAAGATTAATTTAGGCTTAAACAAAATGACTTAGTGACGTGTTAACTCCTCATCAACCCACTGTGATGTTAACCTGAGAAGAGACGGTAGTTTGTTAAGGAGCCGTTTATGTACCAGAACAGGTGGTGTTGGACTCGTCCTCGTCGTTCCCACAGTCGTTGTCCCCGTCACACAGCCAGCGAAGTGGGATGCAGCGGTTGTTCTTACACTTAAATCTGTCCGTGGGGCAAGTGTGCTGGTCTGTAGACGAAGAAAGGCCACATTGTGTGTGCAGAAGGAAAAGAAGGAAAATAAAAGGGCCGTGTGGGGGGGTCAGAAGAGAGGTGTGACGTTCAAACGAGACAGCAGATATTCTAGACTCCCTGGGCTGTATTTTTGTTTTTCAAGGAACAGAGCGTGTCTGTGCTTTTGACCACAGCAGACAAAGAGCTTAAACAGATCCGTAGATGTTGCGACATCACTCCGGGAACGCACACTCACAATGTTTACACACGTAAAGACACAGTTTACAGCACGATTCGGAACACACGCCAGGATCACTCGGCGTCTGTGTTCACGGGGGCGCGCGGTTACTCACGGCACAGCTCCGGAGCCTCGTCACTGTTGTCCAGGCAGTCGTTGTCTCCGTCACACTTCCAGCGCTCCTGGATGCAGCGGTTGTTCTTACAGGCAAACTCTCCAGGCTGGCACTGGGGCGGAGGGATGTAAGAGGGGTTCACTGTGGAGGGGGAAAGAGCACAACAATTAAAAAACAAAAAATCTACTGATAATTAATGGCCCGTTTAGGAATAGGAAAAACAGTATATAACTAATGGCCTGTTTAGGAATAGGAAAAACAGTCATTCTTTCTTTATTAAATATCTTAGGTCGAGATGACGTTGTAAAAATACAAACAAAAAATCAGATTTATCAAATATCTTAGTTAGAGATGATGTTGTAAAAATACAAACAAAAAATCAGAAACTGCAGTATCTTGTGTCTGAGTACTGAGTCTTTTCTAGACTTTATCTCTAGGTGTGATATTTTTACAGTACAAGTCACTACAGGCTTCTATCACACCCTGACCTGTGATTCTGAGAAAGCAATCTTATGTTGTTGTTGTTTTTTTGTGTGGAAAAAAAAAGACTTTATACTTTAAGATTCATGCAATCTCACAAAAAGTCTTCAGTAAAAAATATTTTATATTCCATTTCTGCCAATGGAAAATAAACAAAGTAATTCAGGCTAATGAACCTTTAAATCTGGCAGGTCTGACCAGAGCGGTGTTTACTGCAGGGCTGTGTTACAGTTTAAAGTTCACAGACTCACTCAGTGTCACACGGCCTGACTGATACTGGCCAACGCACTAGAAATAAAACATCAGAGATGTGGTGGAGCAGAATTAGCCCCATGTGAAATCCCCCCCGTTTAGTCCCCCCACACAAACAGCCCAGCTCTGACTGTTATCTTAGCTGTCGTAAACATATGCCCAATCCTAACTCAATCCTAATCTCAACCTGATTCTAATCCTGCCCAAAGTATCCCTACATTTCCATTCAATCTTTGTTAGCAAAGACATAGCACGTAGAGCTCATGTGGTCCATTTTGTTTTATATTTTCTTTCTTTTCTTTCTCATAAAACATTTTAGTTTCTCTTTGTTTACAGACAGTTTAGTGATGAACAAAATTGCAGATTTTAGTTTTAAAGCAAATCTTTAAAGAACCAAAAAAACAAATTAAAATGAGCACACAATCCATCATTTATTTACACACACACACACCTTGGCAGCTGGTATTGTCGGCCGGGTCCAGTATCTGGTCTTCGGCACAGGCACACTGTCGGCCGTCTGGAATGGCCAGACACAAACTGCTGCAGCCTCCATTGTTGACGCGACACGTGTTGGAGCCTGTGGACGGGAGGGCGAATCAGAAGTGTTCGTGACCTGTCGTGTTTATTACAGTCCAGTGGACGTCTGGTCACGTGACCAGAGGGTGAGAGAAGTTTCTGCTCACCTTGCTGCTGCTGAGCGTCGTACATTCGTATTTCAAAGATGGGTGGTCGCTCGTCGCGCAGCAGAGTGGCGACGCCGGTGGTGGTGTCCAACTTGTAAATGCTGCCACTGCGGTACTCGTTCCAGAACAGGAAGTGTTTATAATGGCACAGGCCAAAGGCGTGGTTCAGTTCCTGACCCTCGTACACCGTCTGGTCAGAAAAAAATATCAGCGACAACAGCAGAAATGTGATGAATTATATTTTCCTATATCTGCGGCAACACTGAATCCTGTCGTTAAAACATAAACAATTACTGAGCAACAGCCAAATGACTGCAGATCATAAATCAGGAGCTGTAAAACACCAAGACTTGGAAATTAAATATTTAGATTCTGTTCATTTTACACCAAGTAAAACATTCCAGTTTCTGGATTCTAAAACCTAAAAAAAAAAAGAGACCATCAAACCAAATATGACCAAAACATGAGAGCAATGTAAGCCCACAAACCCCAGTCTGCCAGACCACCCACAGTCCTCCCCTGCTTTAAAGGTCATCGCAGCCAAAGCCTTTGAATCCAGACTGCAGTGAAATATCTGTGACGACAACTCGTGCTGACCTTGCGCTCGGAGCTGTTCAGATAGACCATCTCGATGCGGTCGTAGAAGGCGTCCACCCAGTAGAGGATTCCCTGTGGGATGTCCAGACTCAGGCCGTTGGGCCACAGCACCGTTTTACTGGTCAGGAACACATTCCTGTTGGAGCCGTCCATCCAGGCACGCTCTATTCTGCCTCGTTTGCTCTCCTTCGGGTCCTCCTCCCAGTCTGTCCAGTACATCCACCTAAAGAAAGAAGAAAAAAAAACAAACGGCTTCTTTTATAACGAGTCTGCACGTGGAATAGTGGGAACGAGAATGAAATGCTAGAGACGGAACAACAGCTACTGAGGCCCTACCGTTGAGTTTTCCTCCTGGTGCTTTAGGACATGTCAGTTTTCCACATAATGTCATGTAGATTTTTACAGCCCATCTAAACCCCAAATCATTGGATTAAGACTAAAATCACCATAAACTTTTATCATTTCCTGCCTCCTGCTTTTCCTCCCAGTTTACATAAGTCATTCTTTTCTGATTAATGGTAGTCATTAGTCTAGACTGGTGTCTGAGAACACTGTGTGGACACACATCACCGTCAATGCATGTCCAGAGAGAGTGTGTGTGTGTGTGTGTGTGAGAGGCGTAGAGAGAGGAAGCAGGATGTGTGTTCAGTACTCGGTGAGATTGAAGGACACAAAAACAAACTCTGTGTGTTTGTTTTACAGCTGTAGGTGCAGAAGCTCCGTCTGCTTTAACCGCAGTGTGTGTGTGTGTGTGTGTGTGTGTGTGTGCGATAAGTCAAATGTGAAGGATTACTGACGTGATTACTGATAAGATATTATTATTAGAACTTTCAGTGAGGTTGTCTTTTGGCCAACTACTTATCGCGTTCTGTGCCATAAATCAACCCTGATGCTGGGAGTTGATTCATTCACAGTCGACGCCGCCGTCTCCTACAGTTTTGATAAAGTGTTTTGGGTTTTCTTACGCTGACTTTTTTTTCTTTTCATTTTTCTCAGATATTGAGAATGGGCCTGAAGGCAAATGACTCAGCGCCGCTGACGAGTACTAATTGGCCTCGGCTCTGATTGGCCGAAAGACCTGGTTGAACACTGTTATTTCCCCCTCGGCTGCTTCAGAATAAAAGGTGAAAGTTCAACACCACAAGGTGAGTCAAAAACTTTTAAGATAATTTGATTGCATTGCATTTGTAGAATTCTAGGCTAGGCAAAAAAAAAACTCTCTGCAAAACTTCAGTAATTTTAACAGCTTTCAATTTAAGTCAGTTAAAAAAAATTTTTAAAAGTGAGACCGAGGCAGCAGTGTGATCAGTGAGCGTCACACACAGACTCACACACACGTCATAGTTCATTATTCTTCCTCATCAAATCGAGCATCACTTTGCACCTTTTTTAAGGACTAAAAAACATCTCTATTCCTTCTTCTTCCCCGTTGTTTCCTCACCCGTGCAGAGGATCCAGCACGATGGCTCGGGGGTGAGTCATTTTTCCCTCGATGAGAGTTTTGCGAGTCTGTGAAGCCTTTTCCAGCCGAGCCACACTGATGGTTTTTTTGGGGCCGTCATCGGTCCAGTACAAGTTATCAGCCATCCAGTCCACGGCTATACCTTCAACTGTGTGGATTCCTGAAACAAACACAAACAAACTGCAGGTGAGGAGAACTATTCTGGGTCAGACACTGGGTCAACTGGATCTGCAGTCATTACAATCTATAGATTTCCATTCATTACACTGTCATTTTAATCATTCCTCTGTTCACTTCTTTGGCGGACCTGTTATTGTATAAAGCAACGGTTCTCAAACTGTGGGATTTGCTGTTGTTCGGGGAGTCTGTGACGTGTTTCATGTTACAAAGAAGAGGACTGACAGAGAAGTCGGAGTACCGTTTCTCTACAGAGATAAACCAGAGTCACTGAGGTCACAGAGCGTCTTGTTTTGGCTGTACCTTCCTTCAGAATGATATCTCTCTCCGTTCCATCGATCTTCTGTCGTCCGATGATGTAACTGGTGGCGTCCGCAAAGTAGATGAACTCGCTGCCGGCGTGAAAGTCCAGCGCTCTGGGATTCATCAGGTTTTCTATGGGGATCATGTACTCGTCTGGCACTTTGGCGTTCATGTCCATGCCCCTGATGACCCCTGGGCGACCTTTGCCGTACACCAGGAAGAGTTCGTGTTCTGGTTCTGTGGTAAAATGCAAAACAAAAACAAAAAAAGAAAAAGAGAGAAGATAAAATTAGTGTAACTTAAATCTAGAAGTAATTCATTGTACTCTTTGAGAATACTGTAGTATCGGAACAATGTTGACAAAAAAAAAAAAAAAAAAACTCCCAAAGTTTGAACTATAACAGGAATGCTGAGCTGAACTTTCCACGACAAACAAACAGAGATGCAGCTGCTGCAGCTGGTGTGGTGTAGACAGTAGCAAGACTGAGTGAGTGACGGACGGTTAGCCTAGCGCTGTTAGCATGTTAGCTCTGCGGTTTTTTTTGCACATGTTAAGACAATATAAAACAGTCATGTGTGTCTTTTGAACGTTTAACTCTGGCTGCGTCATATATCAAATATGCTTTTATTGTATAAGTGGAAATATATCCATGAAAAGTAAATGTATTAACGACTGTAGAGAGGAGCGGTTAAAGTTTTAGATCAGTATGTGTGTGTGTGTTTTTATGTGTGATGTGTGAGGCCCCGACTGTGGGTTGATGATGCTCCTAAACGTCGCCTGGACGTAAAGATCATCTTGATTTAAATCAACTGTGTTTTCAAGGACAGTCCATTCACTGAAGGCAGATCGATATCACGCCATTAATTAAAATTAAAACCCTCCTCCCGACGAGCTGAATCAGGGTGACACTTTCATGGAGGGGCTCAGTGGAGAGAGATAAAGTCAGACTAAGTTATGGTGTTACTCAGTTCTGCTCCAGTCTGGAGCCCAGGGGAGAGCTTGGGCCTCCTTTGGCTCTAGGTCAACAGAGCTGAGTCTCTGCGGCTGCCAAGTTTATACTTTCAGTTATTCTGGGAGCAGGCCCCGCATCAGTGGTGGATGTGCTGAATGTACGCTCCACTGCAGCCAATCCTAAACTTTTCTTTTTGCCCAACCGAGCCACAGCACTGAGGAGTCAGTTGACTGGCAGAATGACTCTGCATTTGAATTCTGAATTTCATTTTCAACAGTTTTTTTTGTAAAGTCCATACATTTTGCTGTCAGAGACTGTTGCAGAACGTTGGAGGATGATGCAATATTGATTTTTAGACCACATTGTAGTCAGTGGTCTTATCTTTTAATGTCCTTAGAGCAGGGGTTTCAAAACTCTGCCTCGTGGGCCAATTTCGGTTCGCATCTCCCCAAATTATGCCCAGTGAATCAATAATGGTTAGATTTTGTTCTTCATAATTTTTTAAAACATTTTTTCAATGTTCACTCGTTGTTTTTTCATTTATTATTTATACTAATTTGCAAGTTTGTTTTACACAGTACACTGTAGGATTTAACATCATTTGCATTTTTAGAATCTTAGCTGGAAATCCATTTCCATCTCATTTTCAGAAGTTTGAATGTTTTTTTTCAGCATGTCCTTTTCTTGTAATGAAATTAAAATTGAAAACACTAACAAAAACCATGAGAAGGTTAAGGCAAAGATGATTATGACGTGGATCAAACCTTCAGTTCTGAAATGGTTATATAAAAATCATCATACTATCTTATCTTTTATTCTTAAATATCAGATCAATAGAACCAAGTCCAAACTGAAAACTTTGTGCCGTTCCCGTGTCTGTGCGATGCCTCATTTGTCATTTTGTCAGCCTTAAATCTGTTCTACAACAATGAAACGGTTGGCTGCGTGTCATCGATCACCTGTTGAGTTCAGAGACAGTTTACAAGTACGAGTGTCTGTGCTCGGCATCACACAACACCAGTATCAGTCATTTTCATAATTACTTTGTCAATATGAAGTGAACGTAAATTGGCTGCGTGATTCATTCCGTGACTCACTTTTGCAGGACTTGCCGTCGCTGCCCAGGCTGAATCCAGAGCGACAGCGGCAGGTTCTGGTCTTGTGACCGTTTCCCAGGAGGCAGATGTCGGAGCAGCCGCCGGCCTTTCCAAACTGGTCCACCTCACACGCGTGACTGCGCACTGGACACCGAGGGAGACAGCGTTGAGTATGAGGTGCAACCAACACACTGTTCTCTGAAGTGCAAATGTGCGTTCAGTACCTGGAGGCTGGCGCCTCTGGTGGTAGACGTGCAGCGCTCCTCCCTTGTCCACCCTGGTCACCACTTGGTAGTCGGAGTTGTTGAAGCGGTTGATTTTGATCACGTTGGTCTTAGGCTGCATGTTGGCATTTTCGGAATTGGTGGCGTACAGGTAGTTTTCAAACACGGTCAGTCCGTACAGGTGTTCGATCTAGAAAAAAATGTAACGAGATGGGAAATTAGACAAGACGAAAAAGAGAAAGAAGAACGGGAAATGAAGATAACGACCTAAGTGCTACATGTTCTTCTCAACAACATTCTTTCTAGTTCTGCAGTCCTTTAATTTGCAATGAATGATAATCTCTAAAGTTTACTTTAAAAGACAAAGATAAAGAAACTTTTCTATTACTTATCTTCGTCTGAGAAGGTTGCCATTAAGTTTCCAGCTAAACCTTGTTGAAATGGTTCATGCAGCTTCAAACGTAGCTCCACTTACGGTGGATTCAAGTTTAATGAATGACCACACGACTGAGTGACTGTGTGGATGAAGATGAAAAACAGGGTTTCCAGACAAAGTGAAAAATGGTCCATTTTAAAACCCATTCAGTCCATTATTCTGCACAAAGTACGAGGACACTGCTGCCTGAAGAGGCACTGTTGCCACGGTAACCTTCGCTTTAACAAACCGGTGAACGCGGATGCGCAACAGCAGATGAAGAGTTGTTCTGTTGGTCCAAATGTAGACGCTCAGAGAGCATCAGTGTTCAAACCCTTAAAGGAAACTCCGTGGCTGGAGGCTGCCTGTCAGGACCCACTGGGCCATGACAAACACAGAGGGGCTGACGGACCACGCTCGGTTAAACAGAATGAATCTGACTCTGAGGACGCTCTCTACCACAGAGTAAGACATAAAGGACTGAACTTCTTTACTTAAAATTTTTTGGAGAAAGACAAAAAAACAACAAACTCCGATTGTTCTCACCAGCGGACCACTGATGATGGTGTGTCGGTTGTTGCCCTCATAGTCCACGACCTCAATGTAGTCCAGATAAGGGTCTGTCCAGTACACCAGCCTGCTGACCAGGTCCAGTGTGATGCCGTGAGGGAAGACGATCTTACTGTCCACGAGCTTAGTCCGGTTCTGACCGTCCATGTCGCAGCGCTCCACCGTAGGGATCGGACCGTAGTCTGTGAAGAACACCTTCCTGAGGAGACAAAGGAGCTGAGGTTCAGTGAAAGGGATGGGATTATTATGGTAAATTTGAAAGCAGTCATTGGTCTGGCCATGTTTGCCACGTAGGGGAGATTAAGGTTTGGAGGTTTGGTTGAATCTGTCATGGATGGATGGGTGAATTTATTGGCTGATGGATGATGCATAGATGGATGGTTGGATGGATGAATTCATGGATTGGCAGACAGTTGGATAGATTGGTGGATGGATGGATAATGGATTGGAGGATTGATGGTGGATCGACTGTTGGATGGACAGATAGATATCTGATGCCTAGATGGATGGATTGTTTAAAAAACAGTTCCACTGTCAGTTTTTTTTGTTACAGATAAATCCCCACTGTAGACATTGAGCTCAGCTTTTCTACAGACAAAGAGAAAACAAAAGTCCTCCATGATTCCTGGAAACCTGAGAGATAAATCAGCGTCTTCTGCTGCATCCTCCCAGGATCTCACATGGACATTAACTGAGAATTAGATCGGGGAGCTGGCAGCTGAATCTGCTCCTGGAAAGACATCTGCAGACATTTACATTCACACATACGGCCATTCAGCTCAGTCACTGGAGACTCGGTGCAGTTCGCTCTATATTTCAGCGCAGCTGTATCATTATATTACTGTTTCCCCTCGGTGACACTGCAGACAACAAGAAGAAGAAGAAGAAGAAGAATCTATCTCACACTACTCTTTCTGACCTTGTTTTTGGAGGAGAAAAAGAAAAAAGAAGCGATTATGGAAGAGCAAACTATCTGGAAGCCCGTGAGTCGGCACTTACACACCACACTTTCACATTCGTGCCGTCAGTGTTATTTCTCAAAACACACAGTCGCAGACACTCACACACACACATCATGATTTCACAGACTTTCCAGAATTTGGTAACTGTTATAACAAACTCAAGTCACGTTGGTAGGGTTTCTGTCTTTTTGGAATTAAAATGGAAAGATTTTTGGTGAATTACTGACAATTACTTTTTAAAAAAAGTGAAAAAAAAAAATAATTGAGAGAGACAGAGACCGTGTGAAAAAGTTATACGTGTTACGTTCTGGAACTTTCCTTAATTAGCAGTTTAAGTGGTAACAGGGTTAGGTCTTTGCATAGAACCGATTATGGAAATAATGAGATGATGATCCTGAAAATGAAAACCTGCTGAGGCAGATGGAGCCTGGATCTGATGGTGTTTAATAATATTTCTTAAACTTATTCTACTTTCCTTTGTACTGTTAATATAATATTGACTGGATAGAAATTCCTCTACTTCCTTCAGCGGGGCTGCAGCCTTGACGGTTCAGTCCGTCTCCAGAGCCTCAGTGTGTACCTGACGTCGGAAACAACACTCCATCGAAACCCAACGTACGAAAATCGAACAACCAGCCGCGCTTACGTTTACGCCTAACGTCAATTCGGAGTGTCCGATCAACCTAATCCTCCAAATGAGCGTGTTTTTGGGGTGTGGGAGGAAACGGAAAGAAAACCCAAGCACACACAACTAGCAAAAACTATCGAGAAAGATCTACCAGAGGTCGAACCAGCGAACCGTGTGGCCAGTAGAGGTCCCTAAGTTTATTCATTAATAAATGTGTTAATTATTAGACTTGGAGAACTTTTAGTTTTGATTTCTCAAACTAATCGAGCACCAACGTCTCTGGAAACAAACTTTCAGACTTGAACCCAGCGCAACCAAAATATCTGTGCCCAATCACGGCGAGCAGACTCACTCGTCTCCAACCTCCCCCGCCCCCCACCCCCACCCTCGTAAATGTGAAAGTTGAGCAACAGGGGGCAGATGACGATGACGACGATGTCTTCTGATTCAGTCTTTGTTTTCAGACACGAACACTCCAGATCTCTGCACGTGTACGTTGACAAAACGACATCCACGTGTCTGTGTGACTGATGGTGTGTTGACGTGCTGGTGTAAGTGTTTGAACACTGACCCCATGGTGGGGTCCAGGGCGATGCCCTTGGGGTTGTACAGCTCCAGGTCCAGGAGGGTGACACACGTCTGCCCGTTCTTGTCGCACACGAAGATTCTGTCGTCCACGTCATCCACGAAGTAGAAGTTTCCGGTCAGCCAGTCGATGGCCATCTGCTCGACATCTGACAAACACAGTAGCAAGAAGGAGAATCATTAAAAAGAAAACTGTCGAACTGAGCAGGACCTATGTATTATTTTAAATTACTGGGATAAGAAATAGAAATGGTTTCAGTCAAATCCTCTTTGACTGGCATTTTGACTCAAGTGTGTGAAAGTTTTATGTAAACATGCCGAAAAGTTGGACTCATGGTCATGTGATGAAGCAGATTAGTCATCTCTGCCTCCCTCCCCCCTCCTCCCCCTCCTCCCTCTTCTCTCCCTCACTGTCTCCTCACACATAAACACACACATTTCTCTCCCTCCAGGTTTTCATGTGTAAACTCTGGGCAGTTTTCCTGACAGACAAACCAGACGACAGCCAAGTCAAACTGCTCAGTCTGTCAGTCAGTGGGACAGACAGTCAGTGAGACAGACAGGCAGTGGGACAGACAGGCAGTGAGACAGACAGGCAGTGGGACAGACAGTCAGTGGGACAGACAGGCAGTAGGACAGACAGTCAGTGGGACAGGCAGTGGGACAGACAGGCAGTGAGACAGATAGGCAGTGGGACAGACAGTCAGTGGGACAGACAGACAGTGAGACAGACAGGCAGTGGGACAGACAGGCAGTGGGACAGACAGTCAGTGGGACAGACAGGCAGTGAGACAGACAGGCAGTGGGACAGACAGGCAGTGGGACAGACCGTCAGTGGGACAGGCAGGCAGGCG